TATAATATAATATAATAATATATAAATATAATATAAATATATATATAAAAATAATAAAATAAAATAAAATATATATATATATATATATTTTTTTAAAATAAATAATATTATATTATATTATAATACAATATTAATAAAAAATAAATATTATAATATTATTAATAATAATTATACGATAATTTATTATTACAATCTGGTTAATAATAAACTTATTTTGTCCCAACAAAAATATTTTAGATAAAAGTATATTCAGCACTCAAAAGGTTAATCTTTCTATACCACTGACCAAAAAAAAAAAAATAAAAAAAAAAATAAAAAGGTAAAAAGATAAAAAGAAAGAAAGATGGTGGTACAGGGTGTCTCTCTAGAGAGAATCGTCAATTTTTCTGTCGACCTACTATCGAAAAAGTTTTAAATCAATGTCACGTATTAAATTTGATAATTGAAGTAGATTTCTTCACTCAAAAAAGTATAAAAAAAAAAAAAKAAAAATAAAGAACAGGTGAAGCGTGAACGTATCTCTCAAGGTGTATTAATGTTAGTTGGATGCAAAACCGTTGATTATTTCATTTTTTTTCCACCCTCGTTAATTGAAAGCTCAGTGAGATAGAAAGTGAGTACCTATTTTTTTTTTCTTTCTTCTTATCCTGCCTCTTCGTTTAAAATAGATGTTTTTTTTTTTACAACCTCATCGAGTATAGACGAATGTTCCAGAGAAGTCGAAGATAAGAAAGAAAGAAAGAAAGAAAGAAAGAAAGAAAAAGCCAAGTGGAAAAATCGAAGTGAACCAAGAAGAAGAAGAAGAAGAAGAAGAAGAGACGTAAGGGGGTTGAAAGAGAAGAGGGTGTTGAAACGAGATGGGGTTTGTTCGACACATGCGTATTTCGTACGACGCCAAAAAGCAAAACTCATCTAGATTCTCGTGTCCTTGTCTGGTCTCTACATTTATTATTTGATAACGTGTATATATATATATATATATATGTACCTAAAAATATTTCCAATTGGATAAATGTAAAAAGGATTTTTAATATTTGTTTAACAAAGAAAAAGAATAAAAAGCAAATACTTAACAAAAAGTATTAACTACGTAATACTTCTAAATAACAAAGTATTACTACTTAATACTATATATATATATATATATATATTATATTTATAATTATAGTATTACAAAAAACAAATACAAATAAATATAAAATATAAATTATGGTATTATAAAAAAAACAAATAAAAAAAATATAAAATATAATTATCGTATTACACACAAAAATAAATAAAAATAAATATAAAATATATAATTATGGTATTACACACAAAAATAAATAAAAATAAATATAAAAATGTAATTAATAAAATAGAATAAAATAATAAATTGATACAATAAAAGAAATAGTAAAAAAAAGAAAAAAAAAAAAAATAAAAAGAATATTCGAAAGTAAAAAAATATAATTAAAAAAGTACGAAATTTCGTTATCGTCAAAGTTTATGTTAAAGAAGGAAATTAATGTTAATAAAAATTAACCTATACACAAAATATCTATATAAACGTTAAATATAATATATATATACTTCGTTTTTTAAATCAGTTTTTTATAAAAAAAAATTCTTGATCTAAATTCGTAAATTTATTGGCACACGTTATTGCCAACTAACGGACAATCGTATATCAAGGAAATGAATTGAAGAAAGTCTAGAAAGCAAATGAGCAATACGACTATTTCATTACTTTTTTCGTCTGGTATCAACGTAACGATGTATTACGATGTAACAAAACGAATAAGAGCCTCAAACGTTATATATATATATATATATATAAATATATAAAAAAAGAATCCTAATAATACATAATATTATCCTTCCTCGTCTATCCGGTTAACATTAATACGTAATAAATAATAACACTTATTTATCGCTATGTTCACCGAGCTGTATATACTGTCAATATATAATACATACACGAGTGCACGCATATACACGTGACTACACTACGCTAATAACAAAAGATTTCAATCTCTGACAATTTGTTAATAATTTCATATTATTTTTATAAATAATAAGATATATAAATAATTATATCGAATGTTAACAAGATAAATATGTATATAAATATATATATATATTTGAATTATGATCCCCACCTATTCACGAATTATGTCACTGGACGTGCGACGCACCAATTAAAAAAATCGATTATCGAAAATCTGAACGAATAAACGCGTTTTACTATACGTTATAGAAGAATAGATGTTAATGGCGCGACGTTCGGCGCTCAACTGTGAGCGCGTCCAGTCGTACCTCCTACTCCGTCCACTGTACCGCGCCAGCGAACCGAACGCCACCGAAGATTACCGAAGGTCGACGATTCGTCCTAGACTCCCTCTTACCGACGATAAAAAGGAAAATTTATTAGTTCTTTTACTTTTTTTTTTGTTTAAATAATAACTTTTACAAATATTCATACATTATTTATAATATTTATACATATATAATAATATTTAAATATGAATTATAATAAATATTAACAGTGGATTATTGAAACAAACAAACAATTGAAAGAAAAGAACAAAAATGAAATTCATTCATATATGATTAATATAATTTTAATATGAATAATATTATTAAACAAAATTATTAATTATTATAATCATTATCGCATATATTTCATAATAATCGACATGTATTCTTTTTACGTGTTTTCTTATTTTCTATTGAAATGCACGTAAGTATATAAAAAAAAATGCTGCAAAAGTCACGATTTCTCTCGACATTTTCTTTGTCCCGCGTTTGAGCAAAAAAAAAAAGATCACGTGACATATGGCTCGAAAGAGCGGGAAGATTCAATTCCGCGAACGTGTGCGCACAATTGCATTCCCTTTTTCCTCGTCATGGATAAATGCGAGAGAGTAAAAGAGACTCTCTCTCTCTCTCTCTCTCTCTCTCTCTCTCTCTCTCTCTCTCTCTCTCTCTCTCTNATGGATGGATGGATGATGAATCGATCAACGAAGAACTGAACGGAATATTTCTATAGGAAAAGAGACTCTCTCTCTCTCTCTCTCTCTCTCTCTCTCTCTCTCTCTCTCTCTCTCTCTCTCTCTCGTATCAACGTTCATTTCAATTCCCCGCTCTCCTTGATTCGGGTTTAGTATTAATCCTTATAAAGCGATCTTCGAAGGTATCGAAGGATCATCGAAAAGACTTGACACGCGAGGCACGCACACGGAAGATTAAAAGAGTCAGTAGCAACAAAAGTAGTAGTAGTAGTAGTAGTAATAGTTGTAACAGTATGCTTGCTTTCTTTACGTCCGTATATAACAGTATATAAGCATGGATGAAATTTCTGCTACGCTGAATTAGCCTAATACCTATGTTCTACTTTGAATCCTAGACGACGTAATGACCCGTTACATGTTTAGATACGTTTTTTTTTTTTAATTTTTTTCATATAGTTAGAAAAAAGTGAAACGAGCATGAAAAAAGAAAGAAAGAAAGAAAGAAATATAATAATAATATCTAAGTATTAAGAAAAGAATACACGATGATGATGCGTCATTTTGTTGCAGTAACATTCGTATAGTAAACGAGAGAAACCGTATAGGTGGTGGTGGTGGTGGTGAAGGGGATCTTCTCGTAATTCTTTATTGTTCTTTTCGTAAATCTACTAAAAACATATACTACTAAATCTTGTTCTTTTTTTTTTACCTCGGTATTTCTTCATTTAAAAAAAAACAAAGTCTAATTATTTTCCTTCTTACATATTACAAAAATAAAAAAATAAAAGAAAATTCTCTAACGATTCGCGGAATTTCACGTTTCGCGAAGAGAAAAGGATTGGTCCGGCTCGAAACGAGGCGAAAGTCAAATAACGGTCTAGCCATTAAGCATAACGACTTTTTCAGAGACGAAGAGGCAGGTTTAAAACTCGTGCAAAGCAGCATGCACCACCACCACCACCACCATCATCACCATCAGTACCATGAACCTCCGCCGCAACTTTGTATCCTTCTATTCTTTTTATTCTTTTTTTTTTCTCTCTCTCTCTCTCTCTCTCTTTCCTTTCCACTTGCTACTCTCTTTTGCGTCAGGTTGGTTTAGCTATCCAACCACCACAATACCAGGTTGTCGACGAAACGACTCGTCTACGAGAATTTTACCGAACGTTCCATAAGTTCGATCGGTGTTCTTGGAAAGTGTTCGTATACGATGAAAATATGTAGTTCGGTATGCTTTAACTCTTGCAAATACAAACTGAAAAAAAGAAAGAAAGAAAGAAAGAAAGAGAGAGAAATATACGTTTCGAAAGGCATAAAACCGAGTGCCGAACGATAAATCGTAAACCGTGATGACGTTTGCACGCACGATCTTTCTATCTATCTTTCTATCTATCTACTTATATTTCTTTATTTATTTCTTTATTTTTTTTAAGTACGAGTAAAACCATATGATGATATTCTTTAGCTTAGAATTTCTCGCTTATAGTTCGTGGCACACCACCGCCGACTCATACCACCCACCCACGTGCCTACCTYTCCGCTTTGCAATTCTTACGGCTGCACTATGCGTGTGCGTCACAGTACCGTTCCTCCTCTTATATTCTATCTTTCTTTCTCTTTCTTTCTCTTTCTCTTACTATCATTATACTTATATACACACAAAACTACTTTAGTGTATTTCCTTTTGTATACTTGTGTCACACATCAACTGCATCCTTTTACATCTTTGGTTAATGTATATATGTAAGTTCGATAGATCATCGTTGAACGCCACGAGAATTCTTGAGAAAATTCCTCGTCAGGCCACAGGTATTAATTTGTATTGGAAAAAGTTAAATGTGTCAGTCACATATGACGGACGCGGCCTAAAGTCTAATGTCAATCACCTATGACTGACGTAGCGCTCAACGTGTGTTCAACTGAAAACCAACTTGAAAGAGTTCAATTTTTATATTAATTTATTTATTTTGTTAATATTATTTAAGATTATATTTAGATAGATAGATAGATAGATAAATAATTAGATAAAAGAATTATTTAATTAATAATATAATTCTATCTTATAATATATATAAATTGGGTGTCACGTTGTTTGTCCGCAATGGACTCCTAAATTACTGGACCGATTTTAATAAAATTTTGCACATTATGTGCAGTTTCATTCAACTTGAAAGATAGGAGTATTAATTTATTATAATTATTATTTTATTGCGAATTATTTGTTTTATTAACAAAGAGTCATGATGATCTCTGTTAGTTCGATAAGATTCTAACAGATGGCGGTATAAGGTAATTCGTTCGACTTAAAGACGTGTTTATCGGACTGATTGTGAAACCACAGCAACGCGTGGCTTGGCATCCCTAATTAATATATAAATTATTTATTATTTTCGTAAAAAAAATTATGACCTACAACGATAGATAGAAATGTAATGTTAAAAAATAAAAGCAAGAAAAAAAAAAATTGGAAATAAGAAAAAGCGTAATAGGAAAGAAGAAGTTTTACAATTTTCTAACAATTTTATTCGTTATTTTCTCTTTTTGTCCATTTTTTTTTTTTATTCTGATCGTTCCAAATGAAAAACAACGAAGCGAACAACCAACTTCGTTTCGGTCTTTTGCAACAGTTTTAAACTTTAATAATGTTGAATTTATAAAGCTTTCTCTTTATTAACGCATTGCGAAACGCATTCCTTAGCTTATAACCTACTCTCGATTTAACTATATCTATATAGAAATATATTTTTCCGAACGCGAATTTTCTTATCGCATCTTTTACCAGGTAAGTAACTCTCCTATTGCGAATTAAAATGAAAATAAAAAGATAATATTTATTGCGTACTTTTTTTTTTACGAAATTCTAAATAAAGTTTTTAACAACTGACTGACTGACTGACTGACTGACTGACTGACTGAAAATTATAGAAATATTCTGCTAACACTTTTTCTAATCAACTAATATAATTTTTTGTTTGTTTCATAAATCAATTCAATTTTCTAAGTAAATAGTTCTCCAATACATTTGTATAAGAAATATCATTTTATATTTCAACGTTTGATTGAAATGTATCAAATTTCTCTAAAAAAAAAAAAAAAAAATTCTAAAATATTCCCAATTGGTTTTTAATTATCCTATTATAAATGCATTTGTTACAAATGTTTATACAGAAAAATAAAAAAATAAAATAAAATGATTAAACATATTTCTTTTCATGTTTCTAATTGCATATTAGATATAGGGTGTTATAATTTAAAAAGAAATATTAAATTACTTTAAACAGTTTGAAATACCAATCATAATACATAATAAATTTAGATCTAAAGATATTTCAAATTGCTATGATAAACTAGAATCGTTGTTCTAAGAATCACAAATTTGATATTCTCCATTACTGTCACGTAAATAATACAATCATGTGGCTGATAAAACGTCCCATGGTGTCTCGTGTGTCACTCGAAAGATATGGTAAGCATTTGAATATAAAGATGATTAATCATTTCACGGTATAAAACGAAGAAAGTATTATTAATAATAATAATAATAATAATAATGATCGTTAAATAAATTGAAGAGAAAACAAAAAAGTAATAGAATAATCTAATGAAAAATTATTTTTTAATTAAACACGTTCCTTGCCATACCCTTTGTTACTTAATTTACATACAATTATTAATTATTGTAAATATAACAATTAAACAAATTTATGTATTTTTTTTTTATACTGTATTTTGTATATAATGTATCAATATTTTAATAGAAATATTCTTTTACAGAATTCAAGTTGTTATAAACACATATATTTTTAATTAAAATTTAAATTTAATTTAAATTAAATTAAAATAAAATTAAGATAAAATAAAAAATTAAAAATAAATTATTTTTAAATAAATATAATGTTATTATATTTTATTATATATAATTATATATATTATATATATTATATTATTACATATTTTATATATATTATATATATTATATTTTATACATTATATATATTATATTTTATACATTATATATATTATATTATTATATGTTATATATAATTTTATATTACATGCATTATTTATTATTATTATTATTATTATTATTATTATTATTATATATATATATAATTATAATAATAATGTAATATATTAATATATATAACATATTATAATAATAATATATAATAATAAAAATAATAATAATAATATATTAACTAATTCTACATAATTAAAATTATATATAACAATCTATTACATTATATAATATATTGTTATATATAAATATA